GTAAAATATTATTTATAATAATAGTGTAAAGAATTGTTGATTTACTACTACAACTTGGTCCATATATTTCTATAACATCACTTGGTTGTAAATAAGGATAAAGATATTGATATTTGTATTGATATTGATAATTATAGTGATGAGGTGATGATGATTGTGTTGAGGAAGAATTATTACTTGTGTCTGTGTTTTTTGATTCTGAAAATATGGAGTCTCCGTCATTATCATTATCGTCGTCATTATTATCATTTTGATTAACATTACAATTTTGGCAATCATCGCTATCATTACCGTCCTCACTAGTATCATCTTTAATAAAATCATCATCATCATCATCGTCGTCGTCGTCGTCGTCGTCATCGTCGTCGTCGTCGTCATCATCGTCATCATCATCGTCGTCGTAATCGTCACTATTATTATTATTATCTTGTTGCATGAGTATTTTTTTTTTATTAAATATTTTTATTATTTTTAATAATATGAGTAATGAACGAGCAAATAAAGACAAACCTATCCACCAACCAATAATCAGCGTGATGAAGGATATCTCCTCATCAATCTTACGAATTGTAAAAGAAAGTACTCCCACTGCTAGTAATCACCATCACACATTGTATAACAAACATCGTCATCCACGATTATCAAAAATTAATAGTCCGTGGCCCACCAACACACATATTGAAGCCTGCTATGGCTGTTGTTATTATGGTCACTCAGTAAATGGTTAATATTTATTTTTAATATTTATTTATAGTTTATTTTGATTTTTTATGAAACAATAAACAAAGTTTTTTATTTAAATTTAGAATGTACGAACATTTTTCCCGAATCACTGTCACAAAACCGCTGCTTTAACTGCTGGGAAATTGGACATAAATTTGACGATTGTGAAAATGAAAGAAGAATTGGATTCACAAAGGAAGACTATGTACATCCCTCATTTTATAATCAGGACCACAAATATAAGCATTTGGATACCATTGCAGACATATAACTTCTTTAAATTATTATTTTTTTTTTTTGTTTGTGTTGGGATTGGGTGCAAAAAAAAAATTGTTTTTTAAGAGTTGAGACTAAGTGGTGGTCACGTGTGAAAACCACATTTTTTTTTTGGTGTGTCCAGTCCCAGTTTTTTTTTTTCAAAAAACAAGATTCTTGAAATTTTTTGTAA